CTTTTCGAGGAATTTCGTAACAAGGGCATTGTCCATAGGGCAATGAATGCCGCTTTCATTAACTTGATTCCCAAAGTAGAAGGGGCCGAAGAAATCAAGGATTTTCACCCCAAAGCCTTCTAAGAGCCTACCTTCAAATAGTATCGAGTAATGTGGTTTCAATACTGAAAATCATTGTGGCAGCCTTAAATATATTTTCATCTTTATTTATAAAGTTTAAAGCTTCAAAAATAATATAGATCGATATATCTATGAAAATATGAAAATCTTGAAAATTGACGGTCCAAAAATGCATTACAAAATACACTATTTCCAAAATTTGAAATCCATTTTTTTCTCATGTTGATGCATCTTGATATTGAGATGATCAATTTGAGGATATTTGAGCATCAAAACAACATCTTTTAATGAAATTTTTGAGGTAGGCTCTAATTTGATGTTTTAAAGCCTCGGCTCTATATAAACTTTTCCATATTCTAAGATACAACACATTCATGATGATATTCTATAATACATCACAATATTGGTGAACTTAGAATCTCCTACACCAAAATTTTTGACAATAAAATGCTCTTACAAATTTTGAAAAGTACATTAGCAATTGTTTGAAAATTTCGAAGATGTATTTAAAAACCCAATCATTATTCAAAAATCCAAATGCATCTTTCTAAATTAGACATTGAGTTGGAAGAATTTTGTAAAGACAAAAATACCATTTGTAAACTAGCAGAACTCGTCAGGGTCAAAAATCATTTTTTCACATACAAGGGCATTTCTGGTAAACCATTTCATAGTAGAAAGTTGTACTCTAAATTTTAGAACGTTAGTCTTTTTAAAAAAGGTGCGGTTTCTATAAGGTTACAACTTTAGACAATTCAATTAAGGCTCACTTTAAAAATTTATCATAACATGTACTTTTGTTATAAAAACTTCTTAATATTATCTTAAAATTTATTTTCATGACTAATTAAATAAATTTAAATTCCAAAAATGGTTAAAATGAAGTAGATCTATAAATATATGAAAGTCTTGAAAATAGACGGTCTAGATAATATATTGCAAGATGTACTAATTCCAAAACTCAAAAACTTTTTTTTTCATATTCATACATCTCAATGTCGAGATAATCGATTAGAAGGTTTTTTCAACATTAAAATAACATTTCTGATAGATTTTTGTGGTGCATATGTAATTCTACATTTTAAAGTTGCAACTTTATATAAACTTTACCCTTTTCAAAAATACTACTAGACCAGATTTACCCTAGGCAACCATAGCAAATGAACAATATGTTCGAGTGAGAGCAGGGAAGCATTTCAGCTATATATTTGACCTTGAGTGGGTCGTGGTCGTGGTCGTGGTCTACTCTGCATCTCACTCCTAGTTTTTGGGTCAATCCCGCGCTTGCTACATTATGCTTTTTTAATATTTCCAAGAGCGAGAGAGAGAGCGAGATCCTAAATCAAATTGCATGAAAAGGCATTCAGGAGATAAAAACACGGGCATTACCTTAGTAGTTCCACTGCCATTAAAACAATAATTCACTGGGTTTATATTAGAATTCACTGATTACAAAGTATGGCATATGAGATCATTGGTAAATTGAAAGAAATATAGGTATATATTAAAAAGGGTGTGGTTTCTATACGGTTTCAACCTTAAACAATCCAATTAAAGCACACCTCCAAATTTTATTATAACATGTAATTTTGGTGCAAAAAATTCTTAAGATTATATAAAGTTGCAACTTTAAAATATAGGATTAAAGTGCACCTAAAAAATCCATCAAAAATTGGAAAGCCATCTAACTGATAATCTCGATATTGAGATGTATAAATATGGAAAAAAGAAAAAAATTGAATCCGAAAAATAGTGCATCTTACAACAAATTATCTGGCCGTCCATTTTCAAAATTTTCATGTATTTATAGATCTGCTTGAGTTTAACCAATTTTTGGAGTTTAAAAATTATTATTAATTATGAAAATGAATCCTTAGAGTATCTAAGAATTTTTAAGACTAAAACAACAATAAAATTTAGAGGTGCGTCTTGTTTAAGGTTGGGACCTCATGCAAACCACACCCATGAATAAAATATAGCATCAGTAAAATCCAAGGCGCATCAAGACATATATTGAAACACTGTCGCGAGAATAGCAACTAGAAAAGGGTTCAAGTTGCAAAATAGAATAGTAATAAGCTACAAGACCTGTGAAATTTCCATCAACGTCGTATTCAGCTACAAAAACGACAATGACAAGCCCGAGGCACTTATGTCATAAAATATGATTATGAATCATATCTACAGTTTTATATCAATCCGAGCATATGATTATGAATCATATCAACGGTTTTATATCAATCCGATCATTTTTATTGCACACTAGTTTCCAAAACCCTAGAAAGCAACCAAAGAGAGTTTATTTGTAGAGAGAGCCCATGAATGAATAGAAAGAGAACAAGGACCACAAAAACCCCAATAGGGTTAAGAATAAGCACCTGCCCATCTTTGAAAACCAGGCCCTTTTCAAAAGGAAAAGCACCTTCCCAATACTGAGATCCGCAAATCTTACATAAAAATGACACACACCATTTCCCAACCGGAAACCGCCTATTATTTTCAAAGTTTAAACAACTTGACTTTATTGCCTATGAAATAATACAGGAAAAGATATTCAACCCAAGAGGGATATCCTTTTCAAATATCCACTCCTATTAGAAAAGGACCCCAAAAGAGAGAGAGTGTGTCCCACTTTAGAGAGAGAGAGAGTCCCAATTTCTAAATATTCAAAGAGAAGCAGGTGAGAATTTAAGTGGTTGAACAAAAACAGGGGAAAAAAAGCAGAGCATGAGACTTGATTGACAGTGTCTCACCCCAAACCAAAACCCCCCTCTTTATATATTCACATAAAGGAACCATGACCAAAGACTGGGTCTCCTGTGGGTTCAGTGAATAACAGAAGATCATCAAAATCTTTATTACCAAAAGATGAAGGCAAGAAAATCAAATTCAGAATCAACAAAAACATACACCCATGTCAACACCACCTCCACCTCTCATGGAGCTTTTAAAATCCCCACTACTGCAAGTAAAATAACCCAACAGCCCCAAAAAAGTTACTATTCCCATGTGCCCACCTATGAAGATGCAATATCAGAGCACATGGGCTCATAGATTTCAACCAAAAAAAAAGCCGAACAAAAAACAGGCACTTTTGAGGGCCGGTTCATATGTCTCATCGCATGAAAATAAAGAAATAGAGAAGTGGTAAAGGTGATCCCAAAAAATTAGGGTTCGTGAGGTTGTCGTGCTCCCTTATGGACATACCTCCATGACCATCTAATTTTAAAATTGGAGAGGGAAACAATGAATGGAACAGGAAAGCAGATGGAGAAAGATGAGAGATATTTCTTTCTATTTTTCTTTCATTAGTAACATGAACATGAGAAGATATCGCTATGTACATATTGAGAAGGGATCCCTATATTTCAAAGATTTGATTAACAGAAGAAAAAAAAAGAAAAGAAAGAGGATCAACTTCTTGTGGGCAAGCTTTTTGCTTGGCCCCACCTCTCTCTCCCTTGAAATTTACAGGGCAAGTATCCTCTTACACATCCGTATCACAAAATCTCCCATGTATTCTGTTTTGAACGGCCTTGATCGCAGCGACTCGAGCTGCAGTGGCAGCTCTACTTGCAGCTACAACAGCTCTGTTCACTCTATCTTCGACTCGTGGAACTGAGAAGGCCTTTTCAGCTGTCTTTCTTGCTTCCTGTCAATGGAATTCATCAAACAATTGTCATAAAATAGAACCAACAAAGGGGAGGAGAGAGTGGAAGAATTAGCAAATTTGTTCAATGGTTGTGTGATCGAGATCAATTTACCTGAACAGCATTTGAGACCACGAGAGAAGCTGATGGATGAGGGTTCTTTAGAGCTCCATTGTCCCACTCTCCAGAACGTGTATCACCACTTCTAAAACTGTAGACTCCGAACCCTTGCTTCTTTCCTTCGTGCCATGAGCCCTCATAACAGTGGCCATTAGCGAAGCGGTAGACCCCGAAACCATGGGGTTTATCAGCAAAATATTCCCCCGAGTATGTATCCCCATTCCTGCAAAAATTACAGGCCACCCAACTCTAATTTAAGTCAGAAAATACTGGAATGACTGAACGAGAAATGCAATTAAATGATTCGAAGTTGGATTAATACAGAATTGACTATATTGGGTTCAAGAATTGAATATAAATTTAATGATTTTTACCCAAAAAAGGCATAAATTTGATGCAGATTTCTTGAACTATGCTTTCAATTTCCAGTTTAGGACAAGGGGTTTTATAGCAGCTGGTTTCCTAGTGGGTTTCAAGAAAGATCCAAGTAGATGAAGGAAATCGAAAGGCGACTGCAGATTTTTCACTGATTTAACAGATACCTAACTATGGAAAAAAATGCAAGGACAATATGATAGATTTGCAGGAAGAGAAGGTTCCTGAATAGAAGTAGAAAATATTGATACAAAATAAAATTAAATAAAAAATAAGTTTTTTTTCTGATGAACTATAGACTTAAGGAATGTTTCAGGTTGCAAATTGCCTAACTCAAAAAAAATTAACCGGGTCTTCTACATGCTGAACAAATTTGAGAAAAATACAGATTGACAACTAACTAATTAGTCAAAAAGCCAGTTAATTCCCACAAATCAGATACCAATTACAGTAAGACACATGGATAATTCTAAAAAAAGGCAACTCAGATTCAGAGAAAGGATAATTAAGTGAAACAGATAACGAATGAGAGAGAGAGAGAGAGAGAGAGAGAGAGAGAGAGAGAGAGAGCTATCACACTACGAACGTAGTAATACTACTATACGCAGTCGTCTACCACCCGACCTAACTAACTCCCGACCACTATACGTCGTCTCCTACTCCTCGACGACGT